AGTAATCTTCAGTGCGATGAAGAAACTAAACTTGAACTTTTCAATCTTGTTAATTCTGAATCTGACTCTTCAAATTCTGATATTTAACAAATTTATCATAATCAAGAAACTTCTGATTCTGATAAAAGTTCAAAATCAACTTCTTCCTCTTCTCATAGTAAAGAAATTTGTGGTTGAAAAACCATAAACGTTCTTACTAAAGAAGAAGAACTTATCAAAGATATTATTGATCAAATACCTGATCAAAAATGGAAAAGTAAATTCAATTCTCTTCTTCCTTCAACATCTGTTCCTGAAACTTTCAATCTTCAAGATGTTCTTAATCGTTTTCAAAATGAGAAATCTAAAGTATCTAGTTCTGATCTTAGGTCAGAAGTAAATACAATGAAATCTCAAAGTTCAAATCTTGAAAAACAAGTTCGAGATATCAAAATGGAAGTTCTTCATCTTCAAGTCGATAAACTTGAAAAGACTATGATAGTGAATCTTCTTCAAGTAACGATACATCTCATGCATTTCATCCAAATTTTGATTCAAAATATAATAGATCTTCAAGCTCCAGATCTCATAGATCTTCAAAATCTTGCACAAAATCTCATAAATCTTTTCATCCTCGAACTGAAGAACAAAAGGTCAATGTTATTTCAAGAATTCAACTTCAAAAATGGTATTGCAATATGACTATTGTAATCAACAAAGAATTCAAAATACATTATAAAGTCTTAATTTATTCAGGTGTTGATCAAAATTGTATTAGGGAAGGCCTTATTCCCATAAAATATTTTGAGAAAACTACTGAACGACTCTACGGAGCCAATGGTAGAAAACTTGATATTCAATACAAGCTTTCAAAAACACGTCTGTCATTCAAATATCTGAGATATCTTTTATTTAGTAAAAGATCTTGATCAAGAAATTATTCTTGGCACACCATTTCTTGTTCACATTTATCCTTTTATAGCAGATGCTAAAGGATTAACTACAAATATCTTTGGAAAGAAAATTACTTTCAAATTTTCAAATCCGCTTTCTTTTAAAGACATTAATATTTTGAAAGATGCTTCAATTTCAAAACTTGTTAGCAATATCAATTTCAAAAGAAGCCACATCCAATTTCTTCAAGAAGAAAATCTATTTCAACAAATCGGGGAAAGATTGTTAGATCCCTCAATTATTCAAAAAATTTCGGATTTTCAAAAACGTATTGAAAAGGAAATATGTTCAACCATTCCAAATGCATTTTGGGATAGGAAAAGACATATTGTTTCTCTTCCCTACATTCCAAACTTTCAAGAATTAAATATTCCTACAAAATCTCGTCATATTCAAATGAACAAAGAACTCATTGATCATTGTATAAAGGAAATACAAGATCTCCTTTATAAAAAGCTTATTAGACCAAGTAAATAGCCTTGGAGCTGCTCAGCCTTTTACGTTAATAATTCTGCAGAAATCGAACGAGGAGTTCCTCGTCTTGTTATAAATTTCAAACCCCTCAATTATGCTCTTTAATGGATTCGATATCCTATACCTCAAAAGAAAGATTTATTGAATAGACTATTCAAAGCTATTATCTTCTCAAAATTTGACTTAAAGTCACGATTCTGACAAATTCAAATTAAAGAAGAAGATAAGTACAAAATAGCTTTTAATGTTCCATTTGGACAACACTAATGGAATGTTATGCCCTTTGGTCTAAAAAATGCTCATTCTGAATTTCAAAATTCATGAACGATATTTTCAATCCCTTTCAAGATTTCATTATTACTTACATTGATGATGTTTTAATCTTCTCTAAAAGAATTGAAAAACATTTCAAACATATGCATACATTCATTCATGTTATCAAACAAAATGGTTTGGCTGTTTTAGATAAGAAAATTGTTTTATGTCAAATTAAGATAAGGTTCATTGGTTATATTATTCAATTAGAAACGCTTACACAAATTCAAAGAAATCTTGATTTCACTAACAAATTTCCAGATGAAATTCTTGACAAAAATAGCCTTCAAAGATTTTTAGGTTGTGTCAATTACGTAGGAGATTTTGTCGAAGAAATTTGAATCCTATGTACACCTTTAATCAAAAGATTGCAAAAGCACCCTGACCCATGGAGTCATGAGTGTACCATTGCGGTTCAAAAGGTCAAAAAAACTATCAAAAGTATCCCATGCCTTTCAATCCTTGACCCAAATGTCTCCATTATTGTTGAAACTGATGTGTCTAATCTAGAGTATGGTGGGGTCCTCAAACAGGCTTCTTCCAAATCAAGCCAAGAATAGCTGGTTAGATTTCATTCAGGAGTTTGGTCAGACCCTCAAGAGAATTACTCAACTATCAAAAAGGAGATTCTTGCAATCGTGCTTGTCATTTCAAAATTTCAAGATGACTTAATTAATAAGAATTTTATTCTCAAAACAAACTGTAACGCTTCTAAAGATGTCTTGCAAAAAGACGTAAAAAACTTTGTTTCAAAACAAATTTTCGCAAGATGGCAAGCAATTCTTTCTTGATTTGATTTTCAAATTTTTTATATACAAGGTTCTTCAAACTTTCTTGCAAATTTTCTTACAAGGGAATTTCTCCAGAGAGAAAAAGAAAAAGAGTGAAAATGAGTTCTTTAAGTAACAAGAAGAAAACTCAAATATTTCATCTTACTTCAATTGATGATTACATTCAAAATTCACACTCGAGATCAAAAGAGGCATCCTCTTATTCTCAAAATACAACCCTTGCATCAAAAACCTTTCAAAAACTTGCTCAAACAAATCCAGAACAAAAACCATCAAATTACAGGAAAGCCCTTCAAATAGGTTCTGGAAAACTCCCAGACATCAACCCTCAAAAATCATTTTCGTACTTTACCAAATCAATTCAGTTGCCCATTTTTGAAATGGAAACATCATGAGCTCAAAGATATTCTTCTTTAGAAGAACACCTTCAAGATTTCTTTCCTCAAAATTTCCAATTTTTTCCTTCAAACATCAAGAAATCAAGAGAGTATTATGAAGCAATCCTTGTCAAAACGGGATCTGCTATTAATACTCATACTCCGAACAATAAGAATTCCAAACACGTTGATTTTTCAAAATGTTCTATCCAAAGGGTTTGGTCTTATGAAGACTAGGGAATGCACCCCTGGGAAGAAAAAGGATGAATATTTCAAAAACAGATTCATTCGAGTTAAAATTCAATTACTTGGACTACAAAGAGGCGTGGTTAAATGTATTTTTCTTTAGACCAGTGACTCATTCCTGGTATATCCTTTTTCATCAAAATTACCCATCAAATTTCCAAAATGGTTTCAAAATTGGTTCGAATATTTTGGAATTGACGAGACTGTTTTACCCAGCCTCACTCGTCAAGGTTTAGAACACTTTAAAAAAGAGGCAAAAACATTTTTGAAGCCTCAAGAAAACCTTTTGTTCTAGTTCCCTCAAATTCTCAAAGTTTCTTGGATTTTCTGCTGGGATTTCCATCTGATTCAAAGTCAAACTCCCATTAAGTTTCAAACATTCAATATTAAAAGAATTGTTCGACGTTTCAAAGTCAAATGGTGGTCAAAATTCCATGAAACAAATTGCAGTCCAAAAGCAGTCAGTTAATGGTTTCAAGAACAACGAAATTTTGGCATTCCAAAAATTTCTCAAAAAGAATCTGACAAAAATGTCGATTTTCTTACATAAAAATCTAGATTATTGGCAATGTTCAATCAATATTCCACCCCAGAGGGACTTTAAGCAATTTCAGACAAAATGGCAGCCCTTGCTGAGGCATCTTCAAAAAGATCAAGTTCAAAATTAGGATCAAAATATTCTCCTTCAAATTCAGAAGATTATGAACAAAGCAATAAAGACATGTACTTTGGTTATGATATTGATGAACTCATTGAAGAAGAAACTCAAAAGAATTCTCCTGCCAAATGACTACATGAACCCGATTTTCTTGATGAACTTAAAGAATACAGGGATCATAAATCAAAAGAAATACTTTTCAAGATGTGTTTGTCAGCAAACAAACTCTTTTTACCAGCCTTGCCGAGACTCAAAAAGAAAATTTGACAAAAGCAGCTTTATTACCTTTTAATAAAGTCATCAGCTTTTTGAAAAAGGTGGGAAGGATGGAATTGTTTTCAAAGAATCTTCCCAGTGGCTGACAAAAGGCAAAAGCAAAATTCAAATCACCGAAAGACAAGATTCTTCAATTTGCTTCAAAATCATTTTTAAGTCTGGATTTCTTCAGCTATAAAAGGAGAACACTTCATTTGTTTTCCTCAAGTTGAGAATAGCTGGAGATATTCCACTTCAAGAAAGTCTTTAAAATTCTTTGTAATTTTTTGCTTTCTAGATCAAAATTCATTGCTGTAATTTCAATATCTTTATCAATATATTTCATTTTGATTACTTTCAAAAAAAATTTCTCTTTACTCATCTTCTCCACAAACCTCTCATCCCAACCTGGGCCTCTTTTGGTATATATATAATTCTAAAAGATTCTAGAAAATAAAAAATAAAAATAGTTCAAACTCTCATTGATTATTTAAATTAAAATTGTGAATTACAAACTTAAATGAACATGAATAAAGATTTTTAATCCACACCATTTATTTATTTTTTATATATGGCTAACTTAATTTATAATTTTTTATTTTACTTTTGGAGCCAAAAAAATGGTAAGATTCACCAACTTTGTAATATATATTACTTGATAATATATTAATATAAAATTATCACATTTTATTGAATAATCAAATTTCATAGAATAAAATGTCATAAAATAATTTCTCAAAATTCTAAATAGTTTTTCCAATTTCTTTTTTTGAGTAAAATATTTTTTCAGAATTACAAACAAAACATGTTTCGGATCTTAAAACAGGCCCCAAAATAGAACTAAAAATGAACTCAAAAAACTTAAAACTGAAATGTAAACCAAACGGGCCATTATATATTCTTCTGTCATGCCATTAGATAAATTTGTCTCATCTTTGATAACTAAACTTTTCATGCATGAAATTTAACACACGACTCCCTCCATAAACAAAGTTCATCGCATAGTGCAGCCTTTTCTCTCCCAATTTCATCCATTCGTAAGCTACTGGAGACTTGAGTCCCGAAAATTGACTGTCCAAGTTATATGACCATCATAAATTAGAAGAGAGCTGTTTATTCTCTAGCCATGTATTTGAAGTTATATACAAAAAATTCATAAACTTACTAAATTGTATCGTCAATGAGTGTCACGATTCTTGATTATTTTTTAGTCAACGGTGTATACTAATGTGAGAATGAGATATCTAAAAAAGCCGTAAGGTTTTATTGTGTAATTAAGAGATTATTTCAAATTGCTTTATTTGTATTTGTTCACTTAATTTTTTGATGCAGGTTAAATCGTAGCTCATGCATACTATAGATTATGGGTGCAAATTGTTTACTTGGGGTGTTGAGTATTTTTGGTATGTTAAATCGAGTTCATATTAATATTTATATGTTAATATAGTATTAAATTGAAATACGTTAAAATAATGTAAATCAGAAAGTCGAAAGTAAAGTGACTAAATGATATTGAAAAAAGGGCTATTGGGATCATGGTGACTAAGAAAAAGTGATTCAGAAATGAAGGCTGGACGTGGAAATGAATTAAAGTACTAAATTTTTTTGTGACAAAACAAAATCTCAAGTGAAAAAGTAATAATCTTGTGAGAAAAAAGATGAAATAATTCAGACAAGAACTGATAGAGAGGAAAATGAAAAAGTAAGAACCACTCAATAATACTACAAAAGTAGGAACTAGTACTTCATTGGGGTGGGGTCGCTACCTATCCACCTTACATAATGTAACCTACCCCATGCATGTGTTTAAACAAGTAAAACAAGAAAGCAAAAGAAAAGGGGCACAACAACAGAAATCACAATTTAAAACAAAAATGGTATTAATAAAAAGAAGATAAAAGGAAGGTAGAGGATGCAGGGAGTCTAATGTACCAAGGTAATCAGTGAGGACGCGGCCATCGGAGAATCATCCAGCAGGTTTTCCGGGAAAAGTGGTAGCTAAAGACTTCCTAACATTCCCTGTATCAGCATAGGAGTCTCCAAATACAAACAGTTTTGTTGGTCGAAAACCGTACTGCTGATGCTCGCCATGAAGATGATGACGATGACTATGATTAGGCGAACCTTGCACACATAGATATCCTGCACACATAAATATACACATAGATTTATATATGACGATCATGACCGTGATGATGATCAAGATGAATATTAGATACGGGCGCGTACCAGCAGCAGTGAGGAGCAAGCAATAAGGAACAAGGAAAGAAAGAGATTTGAGAGTTCCATTGAAGGGAATGAATGGAGTGACTATGTTTAAGAAGTAGAATTACATATGGAATCTCAAGATGTGAGGGAAGATAAAAGTGACATTCGTGTGATTATATACTAAGGCATGATGGGGCTTCAATAATTGAGATGAGATGGTCGTGTTCTTGTGAAGTTTACAATGAGATAATTAGGATAGAAATTCACCTAAAAGAAAAATGAGGATAACATTTTTGTTGGAAATTGATTTTATGAGTTGGTTTCTATCAACATTGACCAATAATTTATGCCGGACCCAATTATTTCATTCTCAGGTCGAACGTGTTCTATACTGCGAGTAATAATCACAATATATATAAGTTCTTGTTTGGTGATGATTAAAATCAGATTTTTAATAAATTTTGATAGAAGTTAATAAAACGTATGGTTAAAAAGTTTTGTATCACATAAAATATATTATTAAAATTAATTATTAAATTTGATCCATATTAAAATCTACCACACTGGGGCTTAGTTTCAGAAAATCAATTTCAAGTGAATAAGAAATTAAAGTCAGAGATGAGCCGCATGAAACTTGGAATATGTTGAAATCTTAGAATTGGAAATGATGGGAATTTGATAAAAATTCAGTCGATGCCTAGAAGTTAAGAGTCGCTTTTACAATTTGTATAGACTAAGTTGGCACTTGTGTTTGGATTTCAAGGTTGTATCAATAGTTTTAAAGTGAGAGATCCTAACCAGACGTGGAATGAGTGTTGTGGGATTCGGGTATTCGGCCAAGGAAACAATTATTTATTTATTTATTTATTTATTTTTGAAGAAATATAGTCTGCTCCTAATTTTTTAACAACAATTTTGTATTCTTAACCTTCTATTCTTTTGAAGAAATTTTTTGTCCGAATTCTATATTAAAAAAATGTTAAATTGGCTGAAAATATGAATTTGCCGATAGAGTAAACAACCAAGGATACTGATAAAAAATAAATAGTAAAATAAGAAGAAAAAAAAAATCATTGGTTTTAAAGTATCGAAGTATTAATTTCATTACATTCTCACTCACTCATGTCTCAAAGAGCTAGGATCATGAATAAGGGTTCATTACTTACGTAGGATTAGGTCAATTTGTTTTTGTTATGAAAACTGGAATGTTCTTATACCAGTTTGTTGTGAGAAAATAAGATATTAAGTATAGTATAAAGTAATTGATCACAAAAAAATATAATAATATAATTTGCAGAGAATATAGATTTTATTATAATATAGAGGAAGAATATAACGATTATGTGTTTGCTATGTTTTTAACTTCTTATAGGAAAAATCAACCCAAACTAAATTGTAGAGAAGAGTTAAATATATATAGGAGACGTTCAAACCCTTATAGTATAGTTGTAGTTGAAGTAGAATACCAAAAACAAAGTCCAAAGCGAGAAATGACAGAAAAATCATGCAAGCGAGAAACAAGTAGGCAGCGCTATGGTGCCACTCATGTGACACGGCAACGTGGGGGCCAAAATTATCGTAGCGCCATGACGCCTACTTTTGGGTCTTTTAATCCAAAAACTTGATCCTCTTCATCCTAAAATTCTCTTCAAGTCCAACGTGAATTCTTATTAACAATAGGCTTCCAAATAGAACTTCAATTAGAATTCGCCAAGTAAACATGATTAGGATTCAACAATAGCATTCCAAATAGGATTCTAATTAATGTGCAATTTAGTTAGAACTCACAATTATCTTCAACAAAGAATTCGGATTACACCCAAATTCTAACAATCTTCACATTGACACAAATTTCAATGCAAGGAATAAACTTCAACTTTTCAATGAAAAATACAAACGATTTTCTCTATCAACAATTCTAATTGGAAATATTCTCTACCTCTACTACCCCAACTAGGGGCAAAAGTGATTTAATGACTACCAAACAAGGTTGAAACAAGCCCTGAAATAGAATCACAACAGAATGCATTAAAAAAAGGATCTTGGCTAGAATCAACACCCTTAACTATATTCAAACCATCAATAAAATTAACAGAATTGTACATATGTGGAACCTTATGGCAAAAAATGGGTCTATTTCTAGCAATTGAATACGATAACGTCTTCGACAATGACGGCAAAACGAATTCACCTATATCTTCAAAATTCAACTGAGATATGTTCTTAAACGAAGACTCCAAATTAGACAACAACAATACAGAGGCCAACTTTAAATCCACTTGAGTTCTTCAAATATGCTGATTACTCGAAAATTCTGTATCACCCTGCAAGATATATAAATGGGATTTTTTGTCCCATCAGCACAACATGGACTCATTTGATAACCTTCAGAATCCCACCTTCAACAGTGTATATGTACCATTTTGAATCAACAATACTTAAAGAGATAAGATTTTCTTTAGATCTGGAACGTGTCTCACTGCATCAAGTTTTCTAACTATAGTATCAAACATTTTTATTTTGACCCGACCAATACCAGCTATCCGAAAAGGTATGTAATTATCAGTCATGAGAACACATTTTAAAAATTTTTCATATATTGAAAATAATTCCTAATTGGGTGACATGAAAAGTCAAGAAATATCCAAAATTCAAGCCTCTTCGGGTTTGGAGTTGTAATCAGATATAAGTAAAAACTCTCCATCATTGATAGAATTTTCTACAATACTTGCTTCCCCTGGAGTTTCTGATTGTTGATTTACAGTTGACTTTGATTTATTCTATAATTTATAACAATCATTTACCAAGAGCCCTTTTTCCTTGCAATAATTATAAAATTTAAAGTTAGATTTTGACTTACCCCTCAAATGACCACCAAACAATGTGACAATCTTCATTATCCCCAGATGCTATAAGATGTTTTATCTTTTCCTTTGAATATACAGTATCGTAGACTTCTTCGAAGGTGAGAGTATTAATACTATATGAGGCAAACGATAAACACAACAAAATCAATCACAAGTCTTCTTCATCATATGTGACATCCAATGTCTCCAAATCAGCAACAATTTCTTTAAAAGCTGATAGGTGATCTTCAAGATATGTACCGTCTGTCGTACGATGAAAATATAAACATTGCTTTAGATGCAATTTGTTAACGAGACTCTTCGTCATGCGTAACTGATTCAATTTTAACCATAAAGCAGCGACTGACTTCTCTTTCAAAACGTCTTGAAGAATATTATTTGAAAGATGAAGATGTTTTTGAGATAGAGCATTTCTATCCCTCTATTGTTTTTGCTTCATAGTCCAAGTTGTGGACACATTATCAAATCTCAACAACACATCGTACAAATCCATCTAAACAAGTATTTCTTGCATCGTTACATGCCACAAAGAAAATCTTGTATTGCGATCTAATAGTAGAATCTCATACTTCATTGTTGACATCACGAAAAACCTCAATCTTTCCAAGAATTTCAACACTAAAAGCTCTTATATCAGTTGTTACGAAAATTGGAATAGTCTTATACCAGTTTGTTATGAGAAAATAAGATATTAAATGCAATATGAAGTAATTGATCACAAGAACACAAGAATATATAATATAATTTGCCAAGAATAGATATTTTATTATAATATGAAGAAAGAATACAAAGGTTATATGCTTACAATGTTGTTAACTTATCATGGAAAAAATAACCCAACTAAATTGTAAAGTTGTTGAAGTAGAATGTCAAAACGGAAATGGACAGAAAAATCGCGCAGGGGGGAAACATGTAGGCGGTGATGAGCCAAAATTACCATGGCACCGCGGCGCCAACTCTCGGATCCTTTACTCCAAAAACTTGGTTTTTTGTTCATCCCAAAGTCATCTTCAAATCCAACACAAATTCCTACTCTCAATGGACTTTCAAATAAAACTTCAATTAGAATTCGCTAAGTAAATTTCATTAGAATTCAATAATAGCATTTCAAATAGGATTCTAATTGATGTACATTTTAATTAGAACTCTTAATTATCTTCAACAAAGAATTCAAGTCACACCCAAATTCTAACAGTTTTGTTAAGTTCGTAAAATCTAATTACTGTACCATCCAAAAGCTATTTTGAATCGTTGGAAATTACTATATTTTGACATAACTAGTATATAACATGTGTGTTGCATGTAAACATGGTTTATACTTTGAAAATGTTGTACAATTGCACCATTAATCTAATATATCATTCTCAATGTATACAAAGAGTAATTTATTCACACATTTGTAACAAAAACTATATATTTATTTAACACATTCAAAAATAAAAATTTGAGTATTTAACTTACTTTTAAACGTAATCAAATATTTGCTTCTGAAACGATGTCAAGGCAGTCTTAAAAAGTTCAAGTAAATGGTTGAAGCTAACTTGCTTATCACATCTTATGGAAGAAATTGGAAAAATGAAAAGAACAATAAATTGGCATTCCAAAAGGGCATGTAAAAATGCAAAATTCTTCTTGACCTTAACTCTAGGATGGGTTCTTGTCAGTGTTCTAAAAGGCAGCAAAATGTGCCACCTAGGCGCTCCTAGCCGGGCGTGGCCAAAACGCGTCGAATTCGGAAAATGTGCGAAAAATACGTTTTCCATCTAAAAGGTAATCCCTTTTTTTTTTTAAACTATTTTTTTTATGACATATAAAATAATCTATTTTTTTATGTAAAAATATATTTAATACATTAAAAATACGAAACACATTATGACGCTTATTCTTCTCATTGATACGCCCAAACTTGTAATTCTTGATTCTCGGTCTCGATGCATTGCAATGCATTACGCATTTTAGAACACTGGTTCTTGTTTTGAATAACAATCTAACCTTTTTTTCATGTCATTTGCTTGCTTTCAGCTTAATATTTTCAAATTGTGATAAAATAATCCATTTTTTCTTTTCTTCTTTTTCTTATTTGTCCACATTAATCAATTTTTTCCTCTTCTTTTTGTTTTTGTATTT